ACTGTGATTGGCTGATGAGGTCTGAAAGCGGGAGTCAGGACGGCAGGATTTCAGCTTCACAAATAAAGCTCTCTTCGGAGGACAAGTGAACATTCGCTTTCCTTTAAAGGTGCCATCACTGACTCCATAGTCTTCCTCCTACGGACGTATTTAAGACAATACTTAGAAACTTCCCATTCATGGAGATATTTAATTACGTTCATATTGCACGTGATAATAATAATGGCCTATTTGTATTTGTGGTTCTAAACATAAATATCAGTATTTAAATTTACCAGCTCAAGTCCAGCACACACACCGTCCCGATCAGGCAGAGTCCCAATCCAGCGGATCATTCCATACCCGTTTCCAGAAGCTAGCGTCACCTCTACCATAGAGTTTAAACCCATGTGCACATCAGTGAGTGTTTCCAGCGGGGGAGTCTCCATATCCATGCTCTCAGGCTCTACGGTGGAATAAATTCGTCAGCATCAGATTTAATACAGAAGATAAAAACAGCTTTGTGTAAAACATCATTCCAACCTGAAAGTATCTCTCCTTTAGCAACCATTTCTAGAGGAACTTTGATTTCTCCACCTCTTTTTCCAGTCGCATCTGTGCCCTAAAAACACAAATAATGCTGATGTCTAAATGGAAATGTTATTTTTTATAGCAAAGCCCTGGATCTCATCAGATTCTATCAGAGTAAATAAAGACAGTTGGAGGTGGAGTAGACAACCCTGGAAAAAGCTGCTCCACCAAGCTACATTTTGGAAACCCAATTCAAAGTTCCTACTCCATATTTTCAGGCTCCTACTCCCACGTCCCACTTCCAGAATACTGAATACAGAATGTTGGACGCAATGCACACAGTCACACTCGTTGCTAGCAACTTTTCTGCCATAATTCCTATGTAATGCACCTATGTCACAGCTGCAGAGCCTTCAGGCTTCTGATGGATTTCTGATGTTGGTATAGAATTCTCCAGACTCTCCCCACTGAAAAAGAAGTCACTGGTACCAAGATCGGAGATCCAGTGGGGAGTTCTGGGCTTATTACACTAGAAACCCTCTCTGCTACTTCTGCTGAGGCTACAAAACCTCATAACAGTTTAGCTAAGATAGCTACACCGACTCTGGCTTTGCCTCCTTTTCGCGTGATTTGGAATCGTAGCATGTCCAAGGAAGATCCCGCCTTTCTCACCTGATTGGCTAGAAGGGCACTCCTATGACTGGCAACTTCACATATCAGAAAACCATCTTCCCTCTTTAATAATAATAATAATAATATTAATAATCAATTAACTTATATAGCGCTTTTTAGAGACACTCAAAGACGCTTTCATGCACTCACATTCACACACTGCTAGTGATGGTAAGCTACTTTGTAGCCACACATTGGCTACCTGTTAAAAGAAATAGAAATAAAGCTCTTAATAATCAAACTCCATCATACATCAGTGACCTGATTGTTCCATATGTTCCAAACCGAGCACTTTGCTCTCAGACTGCAGGTTTACTGGTGGTTCCCAGAATATCTAAAAATTGGATGGGAGGCAGATCTTTTAGTTATCAGGCTCCTTTCTTGTGGAACCAGCTCCCAGCTTTAGTCCGTGAGGCAGACACCTTGTCTACTTTTAAGACTAGGCTTAAAACATTTTTATTTGATAGGGCCTATAGTTAAAATCTGATGTTAGCCTAGATCTGGACAAGTGGGGGAGTAGAGGGAGGTGGAGTGTACAGTCGGTAAAAACGGCTCTCCCTTGCCCTGCCTCCAACATGCCTCCATCTAAAAGGCTAGGTTATCCAGAGTTATCTCTGTAGTTATGCTGCTATAGGCTTAGACTGCTGGAGGACACATGACCACTTTCTTCTACAATCTGCTCTTTAACTGTATTATTTCCTGCTATTTCAGCTGTTAACTTTATTTTCTCTCTAAGTGTTTTTCTCCCCAGAAGAAGCTACAATGATGTTCTGCTGAGCTGTGGTGGCCTCATGGAGGGGGCCATCGACTAGCACACTGCTGCTAACCACTTAAACATTCTCTCTCTCCTGATAATGACTTTTTACTCTTTGACGTTGGATGTGCTACTACTAGTTTACCCGTTTAATTATAGATTCACTAGGATAAATACAATAAAGTTTATCTCTCGCCAAATAGAATATTTACTAAGAAATCGCAATATAAATGTGTGTGTGTCTGCTCTGTCTTCTCCATCCCCAGTGAGTCGTGGAGGATGGCTGCTTATACTGAGCCAGGATCCTCTGGAGGTTTCTTCCTGTTAAAAGGGAGTTTTCCTCTCCACTGTCGCTATATGCTTGCTTAGTATGAGGGTTGCTGTAAAGACTCTGACACTAGTCAGTGACTCGATACAAGCTGCTGGGTTCCTTAAATAAGAAACTTTTTTCTGATTGGCTTAATGAACTGACCTGTACTGGAATGTTTATTATGTGAAGTGCCTTGAGACGACTCTTGTCGTGATTTGGCGCTATATAAACTTGAATAGAATTGAATTGTCGGTAAGCTACTTTGTAGCCACAGCCGCGGTCTGACAGAGGCGAGGCTGCCATTTGGCGCTGTCGGCTCCTCTGACCACCACCAACACAGGCAAGTTGGGTGAATTGTCTTGCCCAAGGACACAACGGCTGAATACCTCTGGTGGGAGCTGGAATCGAACCCATGACCCGATCATGAGGCAACCCGCTCTCCCTCCTGAGCTACTGCTCCCCTTTAAGTGCAGACTGTCCTCCTGCCATGAACAGAACAGCTGTTTTGGGAAATTTAGAAAAAAATAAGTGAACTTACTGCTATAAACAACAATTCTGTCCTGTTTTGCAAATATTTTTTTCTTTTAGTATAAAAATAAACATTATATGTTAACTTATAATAAATCTTGTTCGATTTATCACACTGTTGGACTTTAAATATGTTGGCTCTCAAGCATCGAGGGTATCTTATTAAAGCAGAGTACATAGGATAAACACGTGTGTCTCACCTGGGTATGAAATAGAATAAAACTGCAATATTTTTCTGTTTGTCTAATGGAATAATGAAAACGGGTGAAAAATAGGTCTAAATCATAATCAGCTTTGAATTAAATGATACACATTTAAACAGATGAGTGATGTGTTCTAACCTGCAAGCAGTAAAGACGTAAGATAGCCTGTAGTAATAAGATAACAGTTCTTGACAGCCAGCAGATATAAAGTCAGTCTAAGAGTGTGATAAATGCAACAAGATTTATTACAAGTACACTTCATTTTAAGTTCTTTTATAAAATAAACTGAAACTAGTTTGTTGCACAACAGGACAGAATGGTTATTACAGCGCTAAGTTCACATAAAAAAAAATCTCAAGAAGCACCGTGACTCTGTGACCGTGAAGACGGTTTGCTGTTACATGATATAGCCAATCTTAGGAGAGCCCTTTCAACTAATCGAAGGCGAGAAACTTGGACTCCAAATCCTCCAATTCCAAATCACGCTTCCTGTTCAGCTGCTCAAAGCCGAGAACACAACAGTAAAGGGGTGTGAGCAGAGGGGGGAGGGGCGGTTTGATGGATGGATCAGGATCCAACCAAGGCGAGTGGGACATTCACAATGATTGGAGGTTTTTCCTGGGATGCCCAATGAACTGTTTAGCAAGTACAACCTAAAACGTAAGAAGCAGCATCATATTTACATCTGAATCCGATTTATGTATTTGACTAGAAGCATTTCTGACTCAGGAATTTTACTTACTGTGGAGATTTTCACAAAAAGCGCCCCACCTTCCTCTTCCATGTTCAACATTATCCCATGTTGGCACTTTTCTTTTGTAAAGTAGGTGACTTTGTCTCCTGGAGAAAGGCCCTCAGTTGTTTGTTCCGCAGGAGGCTCAGGTTTGGTGGGAGAGTTGTAAATCACAGGTCTGACTTTGCAGAACGGGGCAAAAATGCCACACTTTTTGTCACATTTAAAAAGTTCTTTATAACTGATGCTCCCATCAGTACTTCCTTTCCCTCGGTCGATTCCCTGGAGAACAAGAACAAGTTCACACTATTCACACGAGCACTTCTATCAGATGGTACTTATGAATAAAGGTACACACCTGTAGTTCAATTCCAAAGAACCTCCCAGTCATCGGGGAGGAAAAACTCGGCTCTACCAATGGTCCAATATAGCGAATGGTACCTCTCAGACGATCTCCGTTCTCCTCCGCTACCACGGAGGTTCCAACTTTCATTCCTAAAGCTGTTTGAATGGCTTCTGGGCTCCTAAACCATTTGATCTTTTCATCATCATCTGAGACAGCTAACAGGAGGCCAGCCTCGTCGGGAGTCAGACACTCCATGCAGTTTACATCAATATCATAACTTAAAGATGAACTTGAAAATGGAGTAACGTTTAATGTTTTGATAGGAGCAGATTTTGAAATTCCTGATTTGTATTTATGTTCACGGATGAAACAGATACACCCACGTTTGATGTGTTTGGGAAATTCGGGTTTTTTGGTGACGATGAAGAACCTGTAGTTCAGTGAATCCATGTTGTGTCCGTAGATGTCTGCAGAAACACACACGAACCGCTTAGAACAGTTTAGAACTACACATCGGCGAGGACACTGTTTGACAACACCGAAGCTAGGTTGCTAATTAGCATCACAATCCACTAAATAGCCTAAACTACGTGAAGTAAAAATAACTATAGCGTCTGTTAAAGTCTTCCATAACCATTCATAGAGTCTAATATGAATTATAGTTTTTGTTAGTTTTACCGTCTCAACTTTTTCGTTAAGCTTCTGCTGTTTCTTCGCACTTTTTAATGTCCAACCAGCTCCCTGAAGTTTTACTTCCTCTTTCACTTCATGTCGCTTTCGCAGTAGCGTCACTCTCCGTTTACAGCGCTCCAAACACAACGAGAGAGGGGAGACACGTTTTAAAAGCTCGTAAATAACTCGTGATTATTTACGCTTCATCCAGGGTGCGTTTGTTCCTATTTAAACCGATGGTTTAAACGCACACACGCCAGTAGTTTTCCAAGTGACGATACTGTTTTAAACTGTTGACCGACAGCAGCTCGCGAGACCTACGAGGGAATTAGGCCCTCGGTTGTGTCTTACAGAAACCCCAACATGATGCGTGAAAACCATCGTGAAAACGCAAATAAGTCATTTGTCCAAGCGACGCGTTTAGTTTGAGATCAAATCAAACAGAAAAACACGATCACGATCTGGCCATAGTCCTATGCAAACAAATAACAAATATAAACAATGTCTCTGTGAAAAATAATTTACATGAAAAAAGCGTTAAAGTTTTAGAAAATATATAAAAAACAAGCAAAAAATAAAAACTAAAATAAAACATACGTTCCCTTCTAACGCATCAAAAACGAAACAAGCGCCTTAAAGTCCTGACTGAGGGTGAAAAGTTCGGAAGCGTACCCCCGTGGTCGGCCGTTATAGGCTACGTCATCAAAATGGCCGTTTAAGTCTTAAACATGGAGGAGAGAGAAGCGCTGAAGAGGCAGATTGAACTTCTACAAGGTAAAACTTCGGTACCTAGAACTCTTTGTTGGTTTATTCGTCATCATAGAGGAACATATAACTTTAGTTGTGTGCTGTAATCTCCGTCGTGTTGATGTCGTCTGTTGTTAAACTGAACGTTACCCGTTAGCTTAATGTTAAGGTTCAGATGTCAAAAACAACATGACTCCAGTCTGAATGCGCCTTGTTTCGTTCGTATGAAATAAAATAACATTTCCGGGTTGTGCTGCTGTCGCGTTCTGCCTCCTTTAAACGCAAGAAGACGTGTAGTCGGAGCAGATACATGTCTGTGTTGGTTTCTGCACGTTAGTTCAAGCCGGGTTTCAGTGACCGTTTGCCACGTAGTGTCCTCATAACAAGAAGACAGATTTTCTGTGGTGACAGGATGGCACTGCTATATTTGGACCGCTGTGGTAATGGAGTCCATCACCAACCCCCTTCTGGACCTCCTTCGTGGATTAGTCAATCAGCATCGCCCTCCAGTACACCTTGCAACACCTGGCTTCTGTTTGTGGATTTTAGCTCAGGATTCTAGCCTGGCAAGCCAGACTGGGCCATTCACATCTGTACCGGGTCGGCCCGGGCCGGGTAGCCCTAGTCGGTCCCGGCCTGGCCCGGTTGATTCCACACATCCTTGTCTTAAGCCCATGTGGGCTGATTCTACCCACCAATCAGAGGCTTGCTCTAATGGAAGGTGTGAAGTTGCTGTCAGCAGTGGGTGTGTTGGCCCTGGTCGGCCTGAAGCAGACCCCCTCGAGAAGAGGGCTGAGAATGAGCCTTGGTTGGCCCGGGAAAATACCAGGCCACCCAGATATGTAAACAACCTACGCTACCCGGCCCGGGCCGACCCGGTACAGATGGGAATGGCCCATAAATAAATGTATTTAGTCTGGCAACGCTCCATTGACGGCTCTCGGTTGTGGGGCGGGTTCTACCATTGTCTTTCAAATGATCTTCGCATTCCACTGGACAATGAATGTGACCTAGGCCGTGTTCGAGTTGAGCTGCGCCTCGCCTGGAAAACAGACGAGAGCAGACGGAAGCAGCAGGGGGAGTGGCTGAAAGCCAGCGTTTAAGTCGGACAGATTTCCCTACATGTGTAGCTCGGGGGTGGCGATGGCTGAAGATATCGCGTTAGAGTTCATACTTGTTTAATTATTTATTTTAATTCTGGTGGCTGTTAGCAGCTGAAACACATCCTCACGTGCTTGTGGATATCATATAATGTATATGAAGACCTGACTGTAATAATAAGTAAAGGTTATCAGCTGTAGCTTCAGTGTGCTCATAGGAAACGTGACAAAAGAACACAAAACACATTTGTCTTTATGGCCTATATTGTTGTCATCATCAACGTAACATGACTTACAGAATGCATGTGACCAACTAACATTTCATGTTCTACCACCGGATGTTTGGATCAAAATGTGAACCAATCAGATCTTAGATCAGGTGAGAGCCAGGCGTTTCCCGTCATCCTCTAGGTTTTGCAGCCGAGGGAGAGCAACTGCAGCGCCTTGCTCCAAAACCTGCGGCCGCCTTGATCTCACGAGGTTATCGTTGCCTACGTATGCATGACGTCAGAGCAAGTCGGACACAAATCGAACCGGCATGCACCGCTCGCCGATCACCGCTGGTCTAATCTGCGCAGAAATGGCTTATCTCGAACACAGCCATTCTCTTGTTTCACTCTGTTGCATCATCCCACCACCAGACATATAGAGTGCCCTGATTGGCCCACAAAGCGGATAAAGCTCTGTGATTTGTTCACTAAGCAGATAGAGCACTATGATTGTCCCACCATTATGGACCAATCACAGCTCTTTATGTGTTTGAAACCCCTCTAGAGAGCTGTGATTGGCCAGCCAGAATGCTTTTAGGGGCTGCAGAGGTTCCAGTGGAGCGTTCCTAGACCAAACTTTGCAAAGCAAGAATTTGGTCTAGTTCACTAGGCTATCAGGATTCCACACGGTGGTTCCCGCTGTGCTTCAGGACAAG